ATTAATATTTTTATTGTTTACTTACTGTTGAGAGAGAGACACAGAGTGTGAGTGGGAGAGAGGCAGAAAGAGGGAGACACAGAAGCGAAGCAGGCTTGAGGCTGTGAGCTGTCAGCACAGAGCCCGATGTGGGGCTCGAACCCACAAGCTGTGAAATCATGACCTGAGCCAACCTTAACCAACTGAGCCACCCCGGTGCCCCCTTTCTTGAGCTTTTAAAAATAAGTTACTGAAAATAAGTTATCATACTGAATGCTTGTTTCATTTCTTTCTTTTTTTTTTTTTTGAATGTTTATTTACTTTTGAGAGAGACAGAGACAGAGTGTAAGTAGGGGAGGGACAGAATCCAAAGTAGGCTCCAGGCTCTGAGCTGTCAGCACATAGCCCCACCTGGGACTCGAGCCCACGAACTGCAAGATCATGAACTGAGCCGAAGTTGGACACTTGTCCGGTTGAGCCACCCAAGTGTCGTCCTCTTTTCTTTCTTTTAATGTGTATTTTATTTTTAAGAGAGAGAAAGAGCCTGAGTGGGGGAGGGGCAGAAAGAGAGGGAGACACAGGAAAGGGTTTATTTAGAGAAGCATCTTCCTATAACACTAACTTGAACACAGTACTCTCCATTACTATCCTATAATATTATTGAAAATTATCTCTATAGCAGAGAATATTCCATAGCCTTTTAAATAGAGGTGTCTGTTTAGGGGGATAGATATGGTGTGTATGTGTGTGTGTTAGTCTGCTTGGGCAGCTGTAATAAAATGCCATAGGCTTGGTGACTTAAACAACAGAAATTTATTTTCTCCTATTTCTGGAGGCTGGAATTGTAAGATCAGGATGCCATCATGGTTGGGTTCAGGTGAGGACTCTCTTCCTGGCCTATAGATGGTCACCTTTTTGTCGTGTCCTCTCATGACCTCTCCCTCAGTGTATGCACATTGAGAGGGAGAGATCTCTCTCTCTTCCTCTTCTTTTAATTAAAAAAAATTTTTTTAAGTTTTATTTATTTTGAGATCCTGAAAGAGAGCATGAGCAGAGGAGAGACAGAGAGGGAGAGATGATCCCAAGCAGGCTCAGCACTGTCAGTACAGAGCCTACTACGGGGCTCTAACCCATGAACCATGAGATCATGACCTGAGCCAAAATCAGAGGTTAGACAATTAACCAACTGAGCCACCCAGGTGTGCTCCCCTCTTTTCCTCTTCTTATAAGACCAATCCTATTGGATTAAGTCATTGGATTTATGACCTCATTTAACCCCAATTACTTCCCAAAAGGTCTACCTCCAAATATGATAAAATTGGGGGTTAGAGCTCCAACATAAGAATTCTGGGGGGCACTGAATTCAGTTCACATGGATATGCTGCGAAACATATGTGTATATATAAAACATATGAGAGGTGCCTGGGTGGCTCTGTCGGTTAAGCGTCTGACTTCGGCTCAGGTCATGATCTCATGGTTTGTGGGTTCGGGCCTCATGTCAGGTTCTGTGCTGACAGCTAGCTCAGAGTCTGGAGTCTGCTTTGGATTCTTTGTCTCCCCCTCTCTCTGACCCTCCCCTGCTCACGCTGCTTCTTTCTCTCTCAGAAATAAATAAAAGCATTAAAAAAATTAAAAACAAACAAAACCATATAAGCAATAGAGGTAATAATTGTGATATATTTAACTTGTGATATATTTAACTTGAAGAGGGGCGCCTGGGTGGCTCAGTTGGTTAAGCATCCGACTTAGGCTCAGGTCATGATCTCACCGCTCGTGGCTTTAAGCCCTGTATCGGCCTCTGTGCTGACAGCTCAGAGCCTGGAGCTTGCTTTGGATTATGTGTCTCCCTCCCTCTCCCTCTCAAAAATGAATAAATGTTAAAAAAAATAAAATAAAATAACTTGAAGAGATTCATGCTTAGACAGTGACAATCCAGTATTGAAGTTCATTATTGAAGTTTCTTCAGAACGATTATTGAGTGTTATTGTAGATGGTATATTATTAAAATAAAAGGGTACCCTTTTTTCTCAGACCTCATAGACTACTCAGTTCCCACCCTCCTTAATGTCTCAGTATTTGACATTTTACCTTTCTAGATACAGACTTGATACTCTAAGTTACTTCTGTTGGCTTTTGTATCACAACATTGCCTTATTCCTCTTGTTCATTCTTTGCCAAGAATGGCCAGTATGTGCTACTGAATGAAACAGATATAGCCCCTGCCCTCTAGAGCATGTAGTCGTCTTGTCTTCCTTCCTACAGTCTCTGTTCATGATTTCACTATAGATATTAGTCGTTAGCTGATTGTTTTGTCTCTGTTAGTTTTGATTGATTGTTTTATCTGTTAGTTTTGATTTTGGCTGTTTCTGAACTGTCCTCTGCAGGCTATCCCTTGCCTTAAGTTACCACTTCTGATGCCAAGAACTTGCATATCTCTCCCTATTTCTGATTGTTATCCATTATTCATTTAGCCTTTTAGTGACTTTTTATTTAGAGCCAACTGTGTGTGTGCCTAGCACAAAGGATACAAGAATGATAGAGTCTTTGCCTTGAAGTTGCTGACAGAATGTCAGAAGCAATATATAATACCCTGTGATAGATAAGTCTTTAAGGTGCCATGGAGACAGGTAAGTAGGACCTGCCTGCCTTGGACTGAAGGAGAAATGAGAGGGCAAGTATCCCCATTAGAAGGCTGAACATATATGAAGCCACCTAGGGTTTTGAAAACATAGTATGTTCAGGTAACAGCAAATGGCTCAGTGTGGCTGGAGTCTTAAGGGCTGCATGGGGAAAAGTGAAAGATGAGGCCAGGCATTAAGAAGTTACCAGATTACCCCAAAGGCAATATTCTCAATAATACTAAGCTGATTTTCTTTCATCTTACACCACCTTCCACTGCCAGCTTCACATTTCTGTTACTGGGACTACCATTCTGTTTCCAAACCCTGAAGTGTCATCTTCAGGTCTGCCTCAGTAATTGTGACTAAGCATGAAGTTGAGTCATTTCTATATTCAGAACACTCTTTCATGCATCCTCGTCTATTTTCACTGTAAACACACTACTTATCAGTTACTCCCTGGATTGTTTCAAAGCTACATGAAATGTTCACCTTTCTACCTTTTTTTTTTTTAAGTGAATCTCACATCCTTTATTTTACCCTATTGCTGATCCTGACTGTACAGAGAGCACAGTGATATTTTACTTCCAACAGGAAAAGACCTCTTTTAGGCCAGTATTTTAAATACTTAATTCTTTTTATTAAACACAAAAATCTCAAGCACTAATTCTTCTGTTAAAAACCACAGAATTGACGAATTAAGAGTAATCTGTCGCAAAGAACATTTTATTCCATTAATTTTGAGTTTTTATTATGAACATAATACATATTGTATCCTGAACAAGCTTTTCCAAATAACATGTCCCCCCTCTCCTGGCCTTACCTTCTTGTCACAGTTGTAATTTCTTAGTTTATCCAGATCACAGGCCTCCTTGGGAGGCCATATATACATGGAGTCTGGAATCAGCCTGTGTTGGAATCCTGAGTCTACTATTTATTAGTTTCAGCAAGGTCTGCATTTGTCTAAGCCTCATAATAACTTTATGTGAAAAATGGGAGAAGTGCTATTGCCTACAGGGTTGTAGGTAAGGATGGAGTTGCTCAGCGTAGCCTAGTGCCCGGCATGTGTGAGCACGCAATACATGTTCGCTATAAATGTTATATACCTTGAGAAACCCCTAGCTCATTCATTCCCCCTGTGCTTGTTAGTGCCACCTCGTGCTAGCATGCTTCCCTGTACCATGAAATGCTCTCCTTGAGCCCCTCCTCGGTGCTTTGGTTTACGTGCTATTACAAGTTCAGCTCAGCTGCTTTTTGAAACCATCGTCTTTTCTAATTACTTGGGTTCACGTTGACCTCTGAATTCCTATAGGACCTTTTATACCATTTAGGAAATTAGCTATACTTTCTTTTTATGGTATGTCTTTGTAAATTTACAACAGTAAAATTCATTTTTTGTTGCACATTTTATGAGTTTTGACAAATGCTTAGAGTTATGGATAACTATCAGATTTAAGATACAGAACAATTTCATCACCCCCTAAAAGTTTATCTTGGTGTTCCTTTTTAAACCATTTCCTCTAGTATACATTCTGTGTCTACAAATACAGTTTAGCCTCTTTAACCTAGGATCTGTTTTATGCTAGTTTGTCTATGTATGACCTAGGTTAGTATTGAGCATATAGTGAGTAGGTACTTGACTGTTTGAATTGTATAAAACAAAGCATAAAAACATGGTTAACTTGAACATATGACAAAGCTACTAACTTATTTAACTTCTTTTTGGTCTTTCATTTTATTTGGGTGAAAAATACCATTTTTCCCGTATAACTTGCTAAAGCGATTTGGAGCCTTGCCAGGGCTAATAAAAATCATTTTAAACTTATCTTTGGGAAAAAAAAGGGCTAGTTTCTTTCAATTTTTGTTATCAGATGTACTTACGGTTTCTTTTTTTTCCTAATCCTATTTATTTACATTTTAATGTGAAACAAAATTTTCTCTCTTTCCCTTCCTTGACTGTTTTTGGCTGTTGTGATATTACTGATAATTAAATGTATTTACAGAGGTTTCCTTTTTTTTTCCTTAAACATATTTAAGATATTGAACAATTCAATTAAAAATAAGTTAATCACAAAATGTAAAATATACAACCTTCTTGTTTTTTCAGCTTAATTTTTCCATGGGCCAAGTTTGCTCCTTTCCCTGGGGATTTCTTTTATTGAATGTTTTTAATATCAGAGGTCAACGCAAGTAAGAGAATTTATACTTGATAAAGGTGGGGCTGATATGAACAAGCTAATGCTGCATGGTTTCCTTAATCTTCACTCTTGGGAATTTTGGAATATTGATCTTTTCAAAAAGTACCAAATACAGTTAAGATTTGCATCCCATTCAGTAGACTTTACTTCCTAATGAAGTGAATTGAATTTAACCATGTGTGTCTTTTTTTCCCTTCCCCAACAGCTTCCATGCCTATGGCTGTTCTAAATTTGGGCCAAATATATCCATTTCAGAGAGGCTTTTTCTGTAAAGACAACAGCATCCAGTATCCGTACCATGACAGTACCGTCACAACCACTGTCCTCAACACAGTGGGGCTTGCTTTACCCATTTTCTCTGTAAGTAAATTAATAAGTAGGTAGTGATGGGTATGTTGTGCGGCGGTTGGATAAGGTGATGGAGTTGGGGTGGGAGTAAATCTATAGTACTATCTTCACCAGTGTTGATATGGTGAATGACTGAGGAGTATACCCACAGTTTTAATCTAGAGACAGTGTTAACTTCAGTTAAAGGAGGATGTTACCCAAAACAACTTGATGTCATTCTGAAGCATTATAGAGTGATTATTTTACAGTGGAAGGGTTCATTTAAGTCATTTGGGCCAACTCCTTCCAGTACATCTGTGAAGAAACTTAGGCCCAGACACTTGCTTAAGCTGTTTTATGGCAGAGCTAAAACTAAGATTATGCTTATTTTATCCTACTTTAAATGAAAATTGAAGCCATAAAAAAGGAGATAGAGTTACTTATTAAAATTGAGAAAACAGTTCAGCACAAGGAATATAAATACATATGCAAAATAAAATCCTCAGAATACATCAAAACTTACTATTTTTAAAGTTGTACTGACCTAGATAGTTCATTGGTTTATAGGATAATTTTGATTTTTATTTTTTTAAATAACTGGAAACTTTCCTTCTAGGTTAAGTTTCACAAATGAGGGTTAGGATTATTGGCCCTTGAGATTTTGTGATTACTTTCTTTTATTTATATATTTTTTTCATGATTACTTTTTTTTTATTCTTGGCTGTGATTCCTGAATCTTGCCTTTCCCTGTTTCTCTTTATGTGACTTGGAAATAGAAGAGAAGGAGCAGAGATTTACCTCCTTGACTGTCTTGGGGGTGGAGCAGTTGCTAGTATATTTCTCCTTTTGACCAGTTGTCTTTTGGCAGTTGGCACTGTAGGACAGGTTAGCTTTTCTTTCCCTATTTTGCCCTGATGGCTGAGGATAATAATCTAAACTAGTTCTTTGGTTCTCTGTTTCATACTCGAGTTCTTTTTTTTCTTTTTCCCTAGCAGATTTTTGTATTGTTTTGTTTGTTTTTGGATGGTCTTTAGCACTATATTGTGGAAGGTAAAGGGGACTGGGTATTTGTGGTGTATCAACACATACTAAACATTTCCTTATATTTTCTACACATTCTAATTTGATAGTAAGTACTTTGATAGGATTAAAGGAGGAGAAAAATCTGGGATTTAGTTTAAGGAGATAATTAATTTTTCCCTAAAAAGTAATTTCCATTATAACTGAGAACTTCTGTTTTAGGCTTCAGGCTGATGAAACATTGCACAGCAAAGCATATAGTATTACTACTCAGATGAAAATACACCGTACTGTCTTACTGTAACTGTACTTTGTATAAAGTGCGACGTGTTTATTGCAGCTGTTATTTTGAGCAGCTGTAACCAGATAAAATTTTTAAAAACTACCCCTCTATTTGAGGAGATAATTGCTTGAATATCAGGAAGTTACTTTTAGTTATTTGACTTAGTGCATTTTATCTTTTTATTTAAAATGGCTAATTATAAAAATAATAGATACTCATTTCTGAGTTTAAGAAAATCTGTTATGTAAAGGAAAAAGAAATCACCCTTAGTTCTACCACCTGAAGATAATTAATATTTTGATGTAATTTACTTTAGTTGGACATTTTGTTAGGTCATTATGAGCACATTGGAAATTCTGTTTTGTTCCTTGTTTTTTACTATTTTAATGACATTTTTGAGTTATTAATGAATATCAAGCACCTTTTAAGTTAATAGCAATAAAGCTAAATTTTTAAAAAACAATAGGCAAACACTTGGATAGGAATCCTTGAGTTCTTGAATAATTTGCATAAGGTTGCTATTGAGTGAAGTGACCTGGAAGTTATTATAATGCAAATTTATTTATATTAAAAGAAGTGGTAGTATTTGGCCAGTTTCTGGGCCTTAAATGTGCTGATAGCTTGTGGGTTACTGTGTGGGGATTCTTGCAAATTCCTAGGGTAGATTCGTTTATTTGTTGTTTTAATAATTTATATATACCATCAGATGTAGAAGAGAATTTTTTTTTATGTTTTATTTATTTCTGAGAGAGAGAGAGACAGCGTGAGCAGAGGAGGGTCAGAGAGAGAGAGGGAGACACAGAATCTGAAGCAGGTTCCAGGCTCTGAGCTAGCTGTCAGCATAGAGCCTGACGCGGGGCTTAAACCCATGAACCGTGAGATCATGACCTGAGCCAGAGTTGGTCGCTTAACTGACTGAACCACCCAGGCACCCCTGTAGAAGACAATTTTATTTTCTATAAAGTGATTTGTGTTTGGCATAAATTAATATGCGTATATACTTTATAATTTGATGAGTACTAAGATTTTAAAGCTGTGACTTTTTGTCTTACAATCTGAGATCTATAATCTTTTTTTTTTTTTTTAATGCATTCTGTACTTATCAGCTAATCAAAAAAGATGCAACATTCAGAACAGTATAGATTTCTATTTTTTTGGTCTTAAGGTTTTTTTGGGAGGGTTTTAAGGATCCACTTTTTATTTGAATTAGTTTTTTTTCCTCTCCTTTTGGCTTCATGTAAGCTTATCTTCCCCCTCTGTAATTCCTCATGCATTACTTTCATAAACTTACATCTCTGGAAAGAAATAAAATCTTGAATTAGTATGCATACTTTCAGAGTAATGATAGTAATGATAAAGTAAGTGTTAAATCCCAAATCCCTGTGTTGCAATGAATCAGTAGACTTTTTCTAGAGTTTAAAGTATCCGCAGTTTGGAAATAGAAAACTGTTTTCTATGTTTAATGGGTTATTTTACATTTACTTGAGTAGTTAGTGTGAGTATTTCTTATTTTAGGTTTCTTTTTTGTGGGGGTAGGGGGGCTGGAACTTTTTTTTTAGGTCTTGATTGCTCCGTGGTATAACCTTGTAGTAAAATGTTTAGCCTAAGATAATGGTATAGACTATTTTCTGTGGCCAGCTTATAAACTCCTAAAGAGACACTGTTATTCACAGTGATGTAAACTGTATCATGACAAACTACAGATACATTTAGATATATGTGAAAAAGGCTTAAACTGTTTATATATAAGTTTTCGTATAACCTAGTGAGAAACAGATGAGTGCTCCAAAGTAAAGTAAGCAATGGGCATGTACAGAAAGTTGTCAGTGGAAGACAAAAATTGCCAAAAAATATTTTTAAAAAGGTGTGATTTCTTAAAAAATCGAAAGTTCATTTTAACATTATTTTATTTATTTATTTTTTTAAAGTTTATTTATTTATTTTGAGAGAGAGAGAGTGTGAGTGAGGGAGGGGCAGCAAGAGAGGGAGACAGGGAATCCCAAGCAGGCTCTGTGCAGGCAGCATGCAGATTCTGAGGAGGGGCTTGAACTTGTGAAACTGTGAGATCATGACCTGAGCCAAAATCAAGAGGCAGACCACTTAACTGGCTGCACCACCTGGGGTGCCCCAAAGGAGTTCATTTTAAAGCAACACTGATAAAATGGTTTGGCTTGTTACATTGGCAAAGGTAAGATCTTTCCCTAGCTTGTCAAGTGTAGAAAACAAGTATTCTCCTATCCAAAGGTGGCAGGAGTATAAATTCATATAAGAAGAATATATGATTAAACATAGAAAGTTTCAAATAGTTTACCCTAAGGAAATAGTACTAGTTTCATGCAGAGAATTAGTTATAAGAATGTTTATTACAACATTATTTTTTTGTAGCAGAAAATTGGAAATAAATTAGTTCTGCTTTAGAGACTGTTTATGATTTACCCCAGTAAATATTTATTGGCCTAGAAAGATCTCTTTAGTGTATTAACTGGGAAGGAGAAGCAGAAGAGTAGTAGTGGTTCTCTCTGAATAGTGAAATTATTAGTATATTATTTCATTTTATCTCTCATTTTTCCTATTTTATTTCCTCCCATGAACATATACTATTTTTAAAATAAGGAAGGCTATTTAAAAAATTTTTAAGACCCACTAGAAATTTTCCCATTTTCATTTTGATAAGCATGAAGCTTAACTGTCCAAACTGTATATCCATTTTTACATAGTTGTTCCAGAAGCTTAAGTATTCTGTTTGTGGCTTTAGTTTTGTCTGTCTCCAAGAAAGTATCAAAAGAAAAGATTTAAATAATGATTAAAAAAAGTTTTTTTAATGTTTATTTTTGAGAGAGACAGAGTGTGAGCAGGGAGGGGTAGAGAGAGAGGGAGACACAGAATCTGAAGTAGACTCCAGGCTCTGAGCCTTCAGCACAGAGCCCAACATGGGACTGTGAGATCATGACTTGAGCCGAAGTTGGACGCTTAACCACCTGAGCCACCCAGGTGTCCCTAAATATTTTGAAGATGCATAATAATTCAAAATAAAAATTCCACTCTTTGTCCTTGTTGGGTTGTCTGTGGACTTGAGTGGATCTACTGATAAACTCATATCTATCTCCTTGAAGACAGAAATTTTGTCTCCCATAGCAGTATACTATTATCCAATTCTGACACTAACCACCCAGAATTGGCATTAGATTCCGCTGGTTTAAGGTCATCGTCCCTTGCCCTTGCTTTAGTTGTCAGCTGTAACTTTGAGGGTCCCCAGGTCACCCACACTTCTAACCAACAGGCTACAAACCTAGAGGAATTTCCATGACTCCTTACCCTCCAAGACTGCCCTCACTTCAGATGTCTGTCACAAGTTTGGGGGTTTCCAGGCCACGTACTTTTGATCAGTCTACTACAAATTTAGAGGTTCCCAGGACCTCAAGTGAAATGGAGTGTGGAGGGCCATGAATGCTGAACTTCTGTCCCTTCTCCTAGTGAAGTCAAGGCTTTTCACCCTCCTAGTGCTCTGATGTATTCATCAAGCTTCAACTGTCCGGTGTTTTTGTTGGGGTTTCATTTATTTCATTCATATTTGATTAGGTATGATTGACTGAATCCTTGGCCATCTGATTGAGCCTCAATCTCCAGTCCCCTTCCCTTTCCTAGGGCTCCAAACTCCATCCATCAAATCACTTGGTTGATCTTTCTGGTGACCAGCACTCCATTGTGAGTCATCTTGTCAGCATAAACT